TAAAAACTAGAATCAAAATATTAGAATTACAAAATGACATATCAGAAACTGTAACTGATACAGATGAAATCGAATTTGATCAACTAGCAGATCCTAGTTATGTAGAACCAGAAACCTTCGGAACCAAAGGAGTTGAAAAAAATATATCTATAAACTTAGTAAATAATATTATTTCCCAAAAATGGTTTATATTAGTAAAAATTGTCATTGAAGAAGAATATAATTTCCAAACATTAGATTCAAGTGCAAATTTAAATTGTATTAATGAAGGTTTAGTTCCATCAAAATATTTTGATAAAACCACTCAAATACTTAAAACTGCGGATGGTAGTAGAATATTTATTAAATATAAATTATCAAATGCCATGGTATGCAATAATGGACACTGTTTTTCAACGCCTTTTATTATGGTAAAAAATTTAAGTCAGGCAGTCATACTTGGAATTCCATTCCTAACCTTATTTTATCCCATAACAATTAATAATATAGGAATTGAAACATCTAGAGTAAGACAAACAATTAAGTTTGAATTCTTAGAAAAACCAAAACTTAAAGAAATAAATAGAGTCAAAGACAAAATAGATAATAAAGAAAAGTTTCTATGTTCTCTTAAAATAGAAATAAAATATAAACAAATAGAAGAAGACTTAGAAAACCCTGAGATAATAAAAAAAATTAATAATCTTCGAACTCAAATAGAAACAGAAATTTGTAGTGACCTTCCCAATGCATTTTGGGCAAGAAAGAAACATATCGTAGGATTACCTTATGAAAAAGGATTTGATGAAACAAAAATTCCTACCAAAGCTAGACCAGTACAAATGAATACAACCTTATTAGAATTTTATAAAAAAGAAATTGATGAATTACAAAGAAAAAATCTAATAAGAATAAGTGCATCTCCTCGGAGCTGTGCTGCTTTTTATGTCAATAAAAATGCTGAAAAAGAAAGTGGCGTACCAAGATTAGTAATAAATTATAAACCCTTGAATAAAGTTTTACAATGGATTAGGTATCCAATACCTAATAAAAAAGACTTACTCGATAGACTTGCTACTGCTACAATCTTTTCTAAATTTGATTTAAAATCTGGTTATTGGCAAATACAAATAAAAGAAGAAGATAAATATAAAACTGCATTTAATGTTCCATTTGGACAATATGAATGGAACGTAATGTCATTCGGATAAAAAATGCTCCATCAGAATTTCAAAAAATAATGAATGAAGTATTTAATCCATATTATT